GTTTCAAAAGAAAGGAACAACCCCAAGGACAGCTCAGTGGAGCTGTGTTCCGGGTCAACGAGAAAAGAAAGCGGGCTAGAAGATTCTTTCAGCAAAAGTGCCATTTTTTCCTCAGCTGGAATTTGGTGTTTTTCGGTTTTTACCGATTCAGAAAGAAACGCCTCGGGGGTTAATTATATTAATATTATATATTAAAAATTATATATTAATAATTATTAATTATTATTATTATTATACCGAAAACACGGAACCCTAATTATTATCCACGATTGGACAGTGCGATACACCCGTTTTCAGACGGGCAGAAAACTGACATCTTGAAAATCCAAAGTAATCGAAGACGATTACTCTTTCGAACTAACGGCCAATTACATTTCTTTACTCAAGTAATCGAGAAATTTGATTAAATACCTTCAAAGCAAGAGTAATTGTCATTGCAATCGATTACATTCTTCGAGTAACATATACTAGACTAGACTGGGGTGCTACTGCTTTGCATAGACCCCGGCAGCTTTAGAAAAGCGGGGTGTGTGAAGTACGAAGCATGAAAATATCGCTCCGTAGAATCAGTATCAGCAGCATCATCATCAGCATCATCGGTAGCATCAGCACTATCAGCATAATTATTAGCGTCAGTATAGACCACATCAGCATCATTGCCGTATCAGCCGATAAGAACATAGAGGGAAAAATCACGAAGCCAGAAGCGTGAATATCGCAAGACACGTCCTGCATTTCGTACGCTGTGAGTGACCAAAGCAGGTGCAACATACGGCTGCTAAACCTTAAGGGGCATCACGCGGTATTCGTTACACTATCGCACTCCGATTAACACCGGATCTCCGGGTTCTGTTGAGCTCCAACTTTGCGGCAGTGCGAAAAGACAATTGATACCAGTAACAATTGATCGCGGGTCTCCAACTGATACCATTCACAATCGCAGCACATCGTGCAAGCTTAGCAATGTCGATTGTATCTATACATCGTTTCAGCTGAAGTCCAGACGCAGCCGACACTATGAGCTAATGTGACCGATCAAGCAACCTAAAAAGGGCAACTCACAAGGTCTTCCACTACTTGGTTTGTACAGCAATGATAAAACACGTAAATATACATTACGAACATCATTAAGGTGCGTTTTCACATTGTCTGATTCGTCCCATCAGCTCCTAGCGTCGGCTGCTCCTAGACTTAAGATGAAACAAAGTAAAAAAAAAAGAAAACTGTACATAATTTCAAACATGCATGTGTCCTGAGACATTCAGAGAGAAATGCTTCACATGACATAGCGCGACGCCACGTCATAGAACGTCACAATTTCTTCACTATATTTAACGGGAAAACGCTTCACGTGATGCTTCAGTGTGACGTCACACCGATTCCCCGCCCTGTTTTGCTGACCGCACGGTGCACCCTACGTACACTATACTCAGTGAGGGGTTAAGAGTTGAGTGGAAGCTCCTCCCACCTCTTTCCACTTTGGCAGAGCAAACGCTGGAGAGGAGGTTGCCTCCTCTCCAGCGTCCGCTCTGCCAAAGTGGAAAGAGGCGGGAGGGGTTTCCCCTGGACTCTTAACCCGTCCCCAGTCATAGGTCCACTGCAATTCCTTGCCATTACCCACTGCGGGCGTAAATGAACAGAGAACATTACAGTATTATCGAACGTGTATCGTCAGACATCATAGGAGCTTCAGTATCGCATGGCGAGTGTTCGAAGCTATGAAACAGCGAGCCAATCATAACCTAAAGCGAAGACTCGTGTCAGTGCTCTACTGGAGTGTAAGGCCGTCTCGGTGCTCCAATTTGTCGTTCTGATCTGCTCCCCGAGGTAGTAGCTTGCGCACCAGCGCGAAGTTAGTCAGCCCCAATAAGGGTCTGGTGTCTTCGCTGTACAGCAGAAATTTAGCCCAGTGCAGTACTACTTCTAGTCAGGGCGCATTTAACGTGCATCACGCGGTAGTGATACGTTGCACATCCAGATCGAAACGGGCAGAATGTCTTTAAATTAAAGTGTTTATTTTTTCGTTTTTTTTTTATTCTACATTTATTGACAAACGCAGTAAAACAGTCTGCCATACACTTTAATTATAGCGCTTGGGAAGTTGCAGTATATCGCACTCTTTGCGAACGAAATTGATATCGGAGACCTGCGCTGCCCCGTTCAGGAGTGCCTTTGAAGCGCTTTGAATCGTGCCTTTGAAGCGTGGCTTTGAAGCGTGCCTTTGAAGTCTTTGAAGCGCGTTTGTGGAGTGATAAATCGGACGTTGTAAACTTTTTGATAAAAACTCGTCGAGCGAAAGGACAGTTCCTTTTCTTTTTATTTTACGCCGGTATACTAAGGTAGTTTTTGAAGTTCGCTTTGAGATCTTTGGCGAAGAAAGGAACTCTTTTTACAACGAATTGAAGCTCGTGGCAAACTTGGGGGCGCGCCAGAGTTACCACCGTTGAAACAGGCGCAAAGCTGGCAGTGGCGGAATGCGATGATAATCTAATCATCCGCATTTTGCCACTGCCAGCTTTGCGCCTGCTTCACGAGCGGTAACTCTGGCGCGTTCCCGTGTTTCCCACGAGCTTCAAGTCGTACTAAAAAGAGTTGATTAAGTGGTTTTCGATCACGCTCAGTAAGTTTCTAATTCTAACCATATGTCTAATTTCACTAATTAAAAAGTTAACTAACAAACGTTAATTAATTAGCGAAGTTATATCAAACATTAACCACCCACATATCCTCCTGGCCCTATAACTGACCTGCACAAACCACATAACTGTAACCTTCAAGACTTTTTTTAAACAAATTTTTAAAGATAAAAAAAACCTGTCTATATCATACAAAAGACAGACTGCAAACACCGTCTGGGGCGTGTTTCTTCGTTGTATGGCGGTCCTGTGAAATGAATAAACAAAAACTACCCGCAGACATGTTCTAAGCATGGATATACCATATGAAGCATGCTTCGGACATTTCTGAGGCATATCCGCTGATATTTCTGCAATCATGTCTGCAGAGAAACTCCATGTCTTTCGTGCGACGCATGAGCAGGCTGACTGCGGCCTTACATTGCACTGGGTTACGTGCTAAGAAGGAGCGACTAAACTATAGCGGCCTTGGATGTTCGGTGCTATTGTTAGTAGATGGCGCTTGTTTTCGTGAACGGGTCCACGCGCACAAAATGTGCCGAAATATGTGACTTTTGCACACGTTCTTTGCGCGGCACGAAGAACGCGTGGGGTGCTCACGCTGATGCGGTTTAGGCAGTCAAGCTCCGCCATTGTTGTAAGATGGAAGCGAAGGAAATTCGTGTGAGCGCAATTAACACAGGTACACGGGGTGTACGAATAGACCTCTCTCAAAAATTCGATGCGATCTTAGCGAAGTAGTTCCCCGCAAAGCGCCTTGGGAAACGAATGGTCGCGGTTTTAGTTTTGATTTGCCAATATTAATTCACGAAGTTCCGTCACGACCAAATACATTGCAGGTATTTTCGAATATGTGAATTTCCGTAAATTTATAATATTGGAGGTGGTTCCTAGAAATACGAATAGAAAGCTGTGACACGTTTTTTGTGTTTGTGTTCGTGGCGGGTAAACACAGGAAGAAGCGTACTGGGTGAATCAGCCTGCTTTATCGTCTTAATAACCTAGGCTTCTTAAATGATCTGTGACACGGGAGGGTCATACTGCACTCTCGAATTGTAGCCAGACTGCTAGAATGGTATGGGACGTGGCCGGCCGTATTCTTACACCAACCTAAATCTTGCTGGTCCTGACAGCAACCGGAGGTCCTTGTTTCAATGGGTGTGTGTGTGTGTGGGGGGGGGGGGGGGGGGGGGGGCTCTCGCGAAGATGAATGGTGTAATGCAAGCGAGCGCTGACTTTTTTTGTTAATTCGGTGCTCAGATGCACTACTTCGTCAAGTGGGCAACCGAAGTCGAGACCGTGCCACTTCTCTCTACGGCAAAAGAGGCCCCATAACGCAATGTTAGAGGTGTTGCATGCAGGGATTTTGAAAATTAGTTTACTAACAACCCACGAACCTGGGCAGCAACCAGATAAATTCTTTTTGGTAAGTACAAAGCGCCCGCGCGAGCATACTGACTCGAAACCCTAACACAAGTGACGGCAGAAAGCTCCTGCGAGAGCAATCTGCCTTCAACGGCGCTGTGGGTTGGAGTGAGCTTTAGGCGTGCAGCAAAGGTAAGTACACCACGAACATTATCTTAAATATACATGATGATTGAAAACCTGAGACTGTGGTTTGAAAAACGGAAAATCATGAAATCGTGAACACCAGCCCGCCTGCACTTCAACCGTTTTTTCATTGAACATCTTAACCCATGCTGGCGGCACGACATTTAAATACGACCTTATCGCGTTCAATTGTGTAAAACGAACTTCACTGGAGGGTCGGAATGTCACAAAGAAATTCACCTCGAGCGACACGAGGTCTGCTCGTGACAGTTCCAGCATCAAGTCGCTCGTGTACACTCTAAGAAATCTGGAGTTTCTACTCTCCCGCAAAGCACTGGGGAGATTATCGGGAGCCATACTGGCGGCTGGTTAATTAAAGAGCTTCTTATCGCCTTTAAACTGCGAGTTAAACAATGTTCGCTGAAGGGTCGCCGTGTTACAAAGGAATGGACCTCAAGCTACACGATCTTCTCTCGTGACTGTCGCGGAATCAAACCAGCTGCTTGTTTTTATACTCCGTTGACCCCTAAGCTGACAGTGCGATAGGAGTTACGCGCTCGGCTGTCCAATTGAATGCCTCTTTTTCATCATCTGACCCCACTCTCTGCTCATGACTATGGCCGGGAGCGTGATCAAAACGCAAAAAACAGAAGACGTGCGATTGGCTCCACGAACACGTAGCTGCCACCGCACTGTCAGCTTAGGGGCAAAGGGAGTACATAGTAGCCGCGTAGGAGGGAGGTTCAATTTTCGGTTGCCTTGACGGTCCGGAGATAAGAGCCCCGATTGCGGAAATGAGGATGGCCGCTTATCAGCGAGTGCCCCGCTCTCTTTTATCGGCAGTGGTCGTTTGACGCGGTTCCAAGGGCCATCGAGGCATCCCCCGAACGACTTGATGACATGCCTGAGGACGGCGAGCAGTCAACATGGCGACGAGGTGAGGCACCCTTTTCCGTCGTACGCATCTAGGCTAATGCGCGTGGTTTTGCCTCCTAGATGACGTCCCAGCACCAATTACGTACCCTAGATAAAGGTGTTGATGTGTTGATGAGGAGTAATCACATCTATGGAGCAAATTTATGCACCAATGACGTCGTCAAAATCATACATTGCAACTCCTTTCTTGTTATTATTATATCCTGCGTACATCGCGAAAAGACTCCCTTCAGTTTGCTGGGAAAGGGACCACACTGCTTTATTCTCATACTCAATGGCCTGCTTCGTAACAAGAAATCGAACACAATTTTTTTTAGACCTCAGAATAGAACGTCCCATTTGCAACGTACACTTAATATTTCTTCAAGTGTAGACCAAGTCATTGACCAAACGTTTGAGTAACGTATTGCTATAGGCCGCGCGCGGGATTAGCTTGGAGCACCAATACATGTAGTTTTTTTTTGTTTGTTTTAAGATCAGCTTAGCCAGTAACGACGAAGCCTATTGATGCGGTGCTCTTCCGACAATTCATGTCCGTTTTTCTTTTTTATTTGTGAGCGAATTCGTCTTCGTGCGTGCCGGCTTGTGCGTGAGCGCATCAACATGTTCCTGCTTACTCGCATTTTTTGTCACCTGTTCGCAATACTGATCACGGATAGTTAGGAGTCATAGGACTAACAATAAATAAGAAAGTCAGCGTAGAACCAATAAATTTGTCTTTTATTTGTACACACCTTATCGTCTACTCTCACGGAGTCGTGGCTACTGATATGATCAAGCTTCTTGCTTTGTCATTTACCTCCAGCGTTCTTACCGGCCAATAAGAAAACCTCATTGTGTGAAGAGCGATAATGAATTGCTCAGGACTTACCACGAACTGGGTTTCCGAAATCGCCGATGACTACAGAGCCCAACTTATCCGCGGCCATCTGCGGCTTAGTCAAATATGGCGGGCAGCAGATCGAGTGCAGATACAATGAGCCGTTTATTATCTTAAAAATTTTGACAAAGAATGAGAATCAGTTGTTTGACGACACTGCTTGATACCGTTAACGTTAGTCCTCTTATTTCGTCTGCCTCGATCTCATTCGCTTCGGAGCAATAGTAAACCGCTCGATACTCGCTAAGCCCTATGTCGTTTAATTAAGCTATGAAATTGAATGGACGCGAATGCGGTTTGGTTCGTTTATCTTGTCTGAATTGGTTCCGAGTCTACAAAGCTATGCAACATATAACTGTTCTAAAAAAAAAACAAAAAAAAAACGAGTGTAATTTTGCACGTGCGTTGATCAATGTTTCATCATCGCTATGGAAGCATCAAATTTTTTTTTTTCTTTAGCAAAACAGCCCAGTTCTAAGATTTTGTCCGTCCGTCCGAGCATTTCCCGCTAAATTTAGCGCCAAAATTTACTTAGCGTGACCTGAGGTCACGTTACCTATACATCAATTCACTGTCCCCGAAAAAGTTAGTGGGCAAATATATGTCACGTGACCTGTATACCAATTCAGTTTACCCGCAAAAAATGACTCAACGCGACTTTACGTCACGCGATCTCTACACCAATTGTGTTCCACCGCTAGTTTTGGCGTGGAAATTGATGTCACGTGACAGAAACGCCTTCAGTTGCACGGGAAGCTTAGCGGCGAAATTGACGTCCGGTCTCCTTTGCACCAATCGAGCCTACACGCTACATTTATCGGAGAAATCGACACCACGTGATCTCTGCACCCATTTTCCCCCTCGAGGTAACGGGGAAATAGATAAAAAATAAAAGCTCTTCTTCGCTCTCCGTAACGTCTCAATTATCTTAAACGATCGCTCCTTGAATACTACATTCAATGAATTGTAGTACTTTAGAGATAAAGGCCGCTACCAAATTGTTACTTCAGTATTTTATAGTAACAAGGCAAACGCGTGCATCGGGTGAACCTAGACATGATTAAAATAGCGCAAACTTGACAAGGACAACAAAGAAGGCACACGTACAACAGGACTGGCGCTTACTTCCAACTAAGTTTATTTCATCATCAACCAACAAATATATACCATCGCCAGCGAACATAAAAAACCCCAAAACACAAAAAAAAATAGTTATACATTAAGATTATATGCATATCACGCGCCTTTCGTCAGATAAACCATCAAGAAAAAATAATTCTTTGTCAATGAGACACACCGACGGCATGCTGACGCCACTTGTCTCCCGCTTTTTTGATAAAAAAACGCCTCTTTAATTTCCCTCTCTGTCTTGTCCTTTGCTTTCTTTAAGAACTTCGTCATATTCAAGAGCGATTTACACCCCCATCGTTTATCGTGCTCAGCAAGATGACCACCGAAACTACGAGGATGCTGGGAACGCAGGGTGAACCTGCGTTCCCAGCATCCTCCTAGTTCTAGGGAGGTTTGGCGGAAAGTATACTACTACCCTAACAAATCTCAAAAGATGGCACCAAAATTTCGACCATTTGAGATTGATAAATATATTTGAATTAAACTTAGAATTTTGTGTTTTATTCTCCAGCTCAGATAATATAATTTGAAGATGTAACGCGATTGGAGGCCTTCGAGATGTATACATACGAAAAAGATGAAATTTCAAACATATTATTGCGTCATCGTCGGCACTACAATCAATGACACGTTATGAGAAATTTGTTGTGGTTGTATCAATTGCAACAGCAAATTGTTTAATGTTTTTTTTTTTTTCGAAGATGCATTATTTTCAATAAATCGAGGTATTCTGATCTAGTCATATTATTACATGTTCCGCAACACAACACTCCACTGCTTCGCAATAAAGGCTCGTCATAGACAGACATAAAGGACAATTATTACTTACCTGTGAAAGGTTGCCAATTATAAATACTGGTGTCATCGTCATCATCATCATGGCCATGTTGCACATTCCTCTGTAAGAACAGATTCCACATTGTAGTGAATCCCAAAGTCAAGCACCTTATACCTGTTTTCACAATCGTAGCTTCAGTTTAGAGCAGGGGCCTCCAAATCCAGGCCCGCGGGCCAGATCCGGCCCCCGAATTTACGTGATATTTCCACGTGCCCGGCCCGAGGCCAGCTGCTACAGACGCCACATATAATCACGCGAAAAAAAAAATGGCACCGCAAGATGCATTAAACGTGTTAACGAAGATATCATAAAGAATAAAAAAAAAAGTGCCCCAAAGGGTCGGATCTTTCGCCATAACATTTATTTTACATTCTCATTGGCATCATTAATATTCGTAGTTCCCTGCTTAACGTCTCCGTAACTATGAGAGCATTTCTTAACGTTCTCATGAATATCGGGCCCAGTGTCGTGTGTCATAATGACCCTTGCATAGTTTCATCAGGAGATCTATAATCTCGTTATTCTTCTGCCCCGTCTTAATATGTCCGTTCCTATGTGCTTTGATTTATGCCTGCGAGTTCTCTATGTCACAATTATTTTATAATGTCATATCTAGCAACATATTACTCCTAGAAATCTAGACTTATTTATTTTTTATTTTCTTGTTTATATTGTTTTAACTATGTTCTGGCCCTCGAGTTTGCTTAAGTGCGCAATTGGGCACTTAGTCCGAAAAATTGGGGACCGCTGACCTAGACCTTTAGATAAGTCGCCTATACGAGGACGTACGTCAATCGTTCCGGAATATGTAAAGCTCGGTGAAATATTAGGTTCACTTGTTACTTTCGATGACCAGTTAGATAAACTACAATATGTGAAAGTCGGGCGTATCACGTATTGAAAGTCTTAATCTCGTCGTGTGTTTGCACGAAGAGTAAAACATTCAATCACAATCTACATGAATGTACATACGACCATTTCATGCTGCGTGTAGTAGTGGTTCTTTTTCTTTTTTTTTTTGCATTTATATTCACAGTGTTTGGTTTCTCCATTGTCTTAAAGGTTGGCCGGGCCTCCAAGACTCTTCGCGAAGCGGAACTACATTTTGCTCCCTTGGACCAGAAGCACGAAAAAATGGAGGCACGTCCTGTCCAGGGGAGCGTCATCAACGTCACTACAAAAAGAAAGACCAGTACGTGATGTGATCATACCGCTTCCCTACGGCCATCTAGCAGCGAAACAGTGGGGACCGGACCATGGCCAACCCGTACTCGCCCTCCACGACTGGTTTGACAACGCCGCCAGTTTCGAGCCCCTGGTAGCCTTCCTCAAACCCGAATTTAGGATAGTGTCACTGGACCTTATAGGGCACGGATTGTCATCCCACCTCCCACCTGGATCCAACTACAGTCGAGATCGTTACGTGGAAGACGTGTTAAGAGCGGTGGACTACCTTAAATGGGACACCTACGCCATCGTGGGTCATGGTATGGGTGCTGGTGTCGGCTACTTTTTGGGTTCCCTGCAGCCTGAAAGGGTCCCTAGACTGGTGTCTTTGGAAGGTACCTTCCCAGCGGCTCCCTCTAGCGCTCGTGATCCAGCGCAACACAATATGAAAAACACTGATACCTCCTTGAGGCCCTGTTACACCAAAGTGGACGTTCTGCGGAAGATGGCTTCTAGGGGTATCAGCTCGAAATCAGCCAGGTTCATGATGGTTAGGGGATGTTCCTCACTTGGCGACGGGCGCTATATCTTCAACGCTGATCGTAGGATCGGCTGTGCTGAAACGCAGGTGTTATACCCTGGCGTCTTCGACAAAGTTCTGCCAAGATTTCAAAACAGCATGCTCGTGCTGCGAAGGGATGCTGAACTCGTGGAAAAGGCTGGGTGCCCCAATATGGATGCTGTTGAAGCTCTTATTCGCTGTGTAGGCGCCGAGCAGTGCTCTAGGTTTAGTTACGTTGTTATTTCTGGAGAGAAAGGCATTCATTGGACGAAGCCGAATGCCGTGGCGCGCATTGTGAACGAGTTCTTGTGTACCTGATTTTTGTGTCATGCAGTGGCAGGCATGTGTTATACTGTACCATAGCTTCCTCTATATTGACATAGCCTGGCAGTTCGCTACGAGAAGCGGCCGCCGAAATTGAAAAGGTAGAGCGGCAGACAACGGATGAGATGAGAGCCGCGTGATGGGCGCCCCGCTGCGGCGAGACGCCGAAACACACTTGTCCCGAGCGATGAAATGTCCGCTGGCGTTCCTCGCGTTACTGCTTTTTTTCTCGTCGGGCTTGAAAACCATGTTTCGGGTCCTCGCCGCTGCAAAGGCTGTGCGCTGACGTCCAGGTTCTCCGAGAAATGCTCTGTGCTACCAGATCCTCCCGCCCCAAATCTGCGACCGGGCACTCTATGGCTCCGTCGTCAAACTGCCAGGCTTTGTGAGTATAGAGAAGGCTATGACTTCTACCGCGGTTTATATGAACTGAACCACCACTCCGCGCGGCGTTTGGAACTACCAAAATCAACAATCGCGCGCTTCTTTTTTCTTCTTTTTTTTTTTTTTTGTTGACGTTGATACATGTCGACGCCAAGACAACTGCTTTCTCGCTCTCGTTGCGGTACAGTGCTTTTTCGTGTAGTCTGCTAGTGAGGATGTGCATGCGACATCCCTCCGCTTAGTCGAACCGTAAAACCAATACAAGACAGAACATAAATCTCTCGTAAACGTTCTAGAAACAAATTCTGCAGCGCGTCGACTTCTGATCAAGCAATAATCACACCACAGTAGAGTTGCTCAAACAGAAGTGTCTCTTTGTTTAACCATGAACACAAAGACATATTAAAAAAAACTTCAAGAGTGGCGATAAGAGTGCGTTAGGCATCTGAGCATTGAAGATAATTGACAAAGGGCAATAGTATAAAAAGGTCGATAGTGACTGTGGATCATATAATTCACGCCTATAAGGATGAAGGTCTACCTGTGAATGAACCACATGAAAGGCCTGCTCAAGCTGCACACCCATGAGAGGGTATTCCCACGAGAGAAGCTTTCGGGGAGAGATATGCCTGACGTCGGTGAGCGGCAGAACCAGCGGGATTCCCTCCACGACTCTATAGCATTCACGCGAACGGCGGGAAGCCGACAGGGACGTCAGTGTTATCAAGGCATTTAACGGTCGTCGACAATAGGGCTCGGTGCGCTCTGACAAGAGTAGAAAAATTGGGACGTTCATAAAACGGCGATACTCGATTACGGCAGCAGCGCTGTTAGATTCGGAAGACGACGAACTGCTTCATGCTAAAAGAAAGATGCTTTTTGAACGGGTGGATGCCACGCGAAGGGCGTTAAATCAAAAACCGGTTGTACAACGAGCGGCTTAAGGACGGCATAGATGACTATCGAAGACTCTTTCGGGTGCATCGGACGATATGCCCAACAGCACAAGCCTCATGTTAGGCGATCCTGACGCCACCGCCGGTATCTCGTTCAGCAAAATCTGTAAAGTTGCCAGAGCCGCGAACACATACCATTGCAAAGACATCCCACGCCAATACGGGGAGTGTTTCTGCAGCCGGAGCAAAAGTTCCCCCATCCCTCTGGAAAGTCCATGCCAGCGCGGCTTCGTGAAAAAGCGTAACGTTGTTACCACACGATGCGTACCCCGAGGAGCGAAGGGACGGATTTCTGTTCCGTGTGAATACCCTTTATGCTATGACTGCGGTGGGAGCTACACTCTCGCCGAATCAATCAACCCTCTTCTTTTATCACTTAACCCAGCTGTCGGCTCGAGGACGTGGGCGAGAGTGTCACCGTGGGGCGAAGAATCGTCGTGTGACCAGTCGAACACTTAAACAACCGGAAAGAATAAACACAAATTCGGGACGCAAACAGACGATACAACTCTTTCAACTCTCAACGACATTTATTTCGACTCCGTTCAAACGACGGCCGTCGAGCAGGTTCTGGGGAGGGAGCAGAGAAGGAAAAAAAAAGGGGGGGGGGGGGGGTTGAAAAAGGGGGAGGGGAAAAAACGGGTTATTCGCGTCCTTCCCTCAAGGTCTCTGGTCCCTTCCGCCCAGTTCAGGACGGAGGAATTTCATCTCCCTGTCAAAAAGGGCCAGAGAGGCCGAGGCGACGTTAGTGACCGAGCTCTTGATGGCGTACGATTCGGCGACTTCCCTGCCAGATCTCTGCCGGTGTCCTCCCGCGCGTACCTTCGTATCTGGGCGAACAACCGTCGCACGTCATACGGTGTACAATTATTGGGTGCATGGAGTCGTCGGGGGGTTCGCTCACCTCCCGCGAGTGTTCCCTCAGGCGGTCATTTAGGCACCTCCCGGTCTGCCCTATATACTCCCTGCCACACGAAAAAGGGATGGCATAAACCACCTCCTTCCTGCACTTAACAAACTGCTGTCCGTGCTTCTTGTTGCATTGAGTCGCGGAGGGCGGGGTATTCACCATTCCGCACATTTGTTGAAGCTTTTGCTTGCAGCCAAACACTACCCCTACCTCGAAGCGAGAGGCGAGTCCCTTGAGGCGATGTGCGGTGCTGTGCGAGTAGGGGATAACTGCAAAACGTTTTTTTGCGAGGAACAGGAGCGGCTGGGCGGTGCCCGGGAGGCGGTGATCAGCGTCTTTAGAATATTTGCCACTAAGTCTTCAGGGTACCCTGCCCTCTTTAGCCTCTCTGTCTGTAGAAGCACGCTGTGCGCGGAGAGATGGGGGCACGACCTGGTTCCAGAGGATTTTAGGAGTGATTTCACGAGGCCCCGTTTAACTGCTTTGGAGTGGGCACTCGTGAGGGGCAGGACCGGCTTTTGTGTGCGCTGTCTAAACTCCCAGCATATGCCATCAGAGCGCATCTTCAGGCGCAGGTACAAGTATTGACGACCGTCTTAAAACGGGTCTTCTCTCTTAAAGGAGAGTCCGGTAAGCCCCAAACTGAAGGCCTCAATGACAGACTCGGGAGAGGTCTGCTTCGGGTGCACGATCAGATAATCATTTACATACCGGAAGCCCCGGTTCTCCGGCGCGGTCTTCTCCATTCGGCTTCTAATATCCCGGTCCACATATATCAGGAAAATCTCGCTCAGCACAGGGGCCATACAGGAGCCTATGCATACGCCTGTCCTCTGGGTGTAAACGCTTCCCTCGTACTCCACCAGTGTCGAGCGAAGGTACAACTCAAGGGGAGAAATGAAATCGCCAACAGGCATTCCCGACGAATTCTGAAATTTGCAGGCTCCGTGTTCGTGAATGGCGTTGTTCACGGACTCGAGTAGAAACTTGTTGTCTAGACTGTAGAACATGTCCTCTATGTCTAAAGAAAACATAGAAGAGTCATGCAGGGTCTCAAGTTGGGCTATCACCTCAGTGGAGTTACTAACACGGAAAGGCTGGGAGAGTGTCATGGACGACAAGTTTCCGAGGAGGAAAGTGGCCAAGTTCTTCTGCCAGCATTTGTTTTCGGAAATACTGCTGCGAAGCGGGACAACGGGTTTTTGTGTCTTGGCCGAGAAGAACGCAGTGAGATACTGTTTAGCTGGAGAGGCGATCGCGTTCCTCAGGGAGGGCAGGTTTAAACTCATGCAAAGATCTTTGGCTTCGGACCTGAGGGATCCCGAGGGTCTTCTTTTTAACTTTATAAAGTTCTTCCCCAGGGCGGCTTCCACCTTCTCACCAAAGCATCCCTCGTCCATGATGACAAACACTCCCGATTTGTACGACTCCAGTAGTTTCAGCTTAGAGCTTCGGAGTTCCTCTACAGCCGCACGCACCAAAGGCTTGCCTGGCGGAGGAGGTGGGTGGGCACACACGGCCCTAACTGCAGACCGGACGAAGTCCTGGCGGTCCTGTTCCGGGATGGAGGCGGCGACTTGGAAAACGGAGTCCAGCTGATCCACTCGTGATCCAGGCAGGTCAGGAGCAAACTTGGGTCCGTGCGAAAGGAGACGCACGGTGTCCGGAGAAAGCTGCGTGTCTGAGAGGTTCACAGGAGGAACCAGCCTAACGGGTGAATTCCCCTGATGAAAGGCGCGGTGCTCAGCCAGGATCTTGATCCAAGCAGAGTCCAGGAGACGAACAGCGGACTGCTTGATGAACTGGTACGTCGGGTGTGAGCCAAATCGCGGTCCGAAGAGCGCTGTCATGTGGCCGGGAAGGATCCTACCCGTCAGCTGCAACTCCTGCGATATCTCCTTCCTCGAGATCTGCATAACCCTGTAGCTTGATCCCCAGTTGTCGGAGTGGAATCCCAGAAGCAAGTCGACCGATGGATGGGGCCTGATATTTCTCAAACACAGCCCAAGTGCTCGGAGTCGTAAACGCAGAAAGTTCATTTTGGAGATGAAACAGGCGGCTTGGAAGAATTTGTTAGGATCAAACGCTGTTTGGCCGACGTTCGGACGAGGACAAGACATGTAGCTCACAAAACTTGATTAACACAAAAAACGAGCGTGTTGGTAAATACTTAAACAACCGGAAAGAATAAACACAAATTAGGGACGCAAACAGACGATACAGCTGGCCGCGAAAAAACAGTTTTTCCCCTCCTTCCTTTTCAACCCCCCCCCCCCCCTTTTTCCTTCTCTGCTCCCTCCCCAGAACCTGCTCGATGGCCGTCGTTTGAACGGAGACGAAATAAATGTCGTTGAGAGTTGAAAGAGTTGTATCGTCTGTTTGCGTCCCCAATTTGTGTTTATTCTTTCCGGTTGTTTAAGTATTCACCAACACGCTCGTTTTTTATGTTAATCAGTCGAACACGTTCGGATCTTCCGCCGCAGTTTCAGCTTAGGCGTGAACCGAGTATAGGATCTAGCGCGTCGCAGCTGTATTTGTGAACCGTCCTCAGTTGGAGCGGGAGCTTGGAGAAACCCTGGCGATCCATGCGTCCATCCGGACAGTTTAGCCAGAGCTGCCTTCTCAGTAGCAGACGGACAAAGAAGTGTAGAGTGGCGTCACAAGCGTCGAAGGGGAGTTGTCTTGGTCTCAGCGTGCGTCCCAGTCTGCAGAAAATTGTGACAGACTGCTCTGAGAGTACCACGCGCCACGCGAAGCCCCGTTCCAGTTCATATCGATTGCGATAGTACAGATGCATATTGATTGCTTAGGGTGTCAAAGTTTCCACTGTTGTACACACAGACGTTTAAACAACGCAGGGCATGGCCTATAATGTTCACGCGTCTCGCTTCGCGAATGGTTTTCCGGCGTTCGTATCGGTTAACGCCGCAATATCATTGGCTCCGTGGAAATAATAAGGTGACTGGGACAAGTGATCACGCCCTGCGCTTCTCAAGCTTTAATGGACCCTCTTCAAAATTGCGCAAGTGGCGCCATCCAGTACGTACTGAGCCAATCGTCCGAGTGTGCCACTGTTTGGGCACTAACTCTGAGCATTCATTGGAAACGATTGCCGCGTCAGCGTTCGGCCAGGACGCGGCTCCAATCACACGCTACGCGCTGAAGAAAAGGTGTACCACTAATGTTGGCTGATGGACTTTTGAAAGGGATCTATTATACTTTGCTCCGTGCCTATGATCGATGATCACACGCAACTGAAGTACTATGGAAAGCAACATGAATGCAGGAGGAATATATTCTTATAAACTTTATCTACAGGGTGTCACAAAAGAAAATTTACACGGTCTTTTTTAACACAAAAATAAACTATGCATTGCCAGACGCTCATTCTCCGCCCAAAGGTAGCGCTAGAGGTCACAACCAGATGCCAAAGTTTCAGCCCGATCCGATAACTTAATCAAAAGTTATAAGTGATTTTCTGAAAATTTCAATGGGAAAATGGAGCCCATTTTTGTCCGTTTTCGGTTTCTGGTGCCATAGAGCCCCATGTGTTTGAAAACTCAG